CTTTATACTAAAGAACCTTATTCTGACATTGTTGAACTATTTGCACAGTCTCTCAGAGTATAACAAAACATTTTAAATCACAATCATGGTAATAATATGCTGCAAGTAAACCTTTTTAGTCAAAATATGTTCTTGATATGTGGTGCTATAATCAGATTTAAAATCTGCATTTATACATTTAGTTTCATATTTAATGTCTTTTTTTTTAAACCTTTAAATAGTTCATTAGTAATTAATGAAAGTTATTAATCATGATTTCATTGCTTGTTAATGGTAAAGTAACTATTAACTTACATTAATAAACTATCTATTTACCATTTATAATTGGTCTTTATGCTGTTTTTAAATGATGATTAAACATTAATAAACTATCTATTTATCATTTATAAATTATGGTGATTGTAAAGTGTTACTGAAAAAAGTCCAATAATGTAAAGCCAACAGAGTACTCGTTATTGAATCCCTGAGATATTGAGCTGTAGATGGTCACACTGCAGTTCCTGACTCTCAGCCGTCTATAATTGTGCGATAGGTATTCATGTGACTCACGCGTGCTGGTAATTTCTCAGGGTAGAAGAAGAGGGTATGTTTACCAGCAGTCATGAGACGCTTTATGTTTTCCCCTCACGTCAATGCTGCCTTACACACAAGCAGACCCACAAAGGCACTTCAGAGACACACTCTGAAAGGTGTCAGACAAGATAAGTGCTCCCCCAACACTTAGCAGCTTGTTTCCAGCCTAAAGACCCAATTATGCTAAAACACGGCATGTACACTTATCATGTAGGAATAGTCACCAGGAATGAAGTCTTAAAAGTGAGTGCAGAGAAACTGACCCACTTTGGACTCTCGAAAGTGAAACTAAATTTACTGAGGGACACGGGGAAGGGAAGTTTAGACCGATGTCCCACTGCTTTGTTAAAAATGTGGCCTGTTCCTTTCTGCCGGTAATGAGGACGCCACTCTTTTTGCTTGGACTAGTGGGGCATGTGGCCGGCCTCGCCCCAAGGACAGAGCAGGGTGGAAAAAATAACATGTAAAAATAGCCAGCTCATCCCCGCTTGTTTGCATGCAATTATGAGAAGTCCTCTGCAAAATGAAAATGATAAAAAAGAAGATAACAAGACTCATTACATCATATTTAAAGGTCATTCGTGAATGTCACTGTTTCCTTTTACACCGACTCTTAATCTTCCCACTAAAAATGTCAAGATCTACCAATTCCTCCATGTCAGCTTATTGTGTAAGTGCATAGCGTGTGTGTGTGGTGTGTGTTTGTGCAGTCACCCATCTCTAACACATGAACGTGTGCAGGCCAGTGAGCAGAATGAGTCTGAACGTCTATTACCGATGCTTTGTGATAAGTTACACAACACCTCCCTCCAAGTCTTACCTAACTGGGGAGGATTACAGGGATGTGGCTGGATACTGCGAATGATGATGAAGGCAGATGTATCGCTTACTTGAAGTAATCAGTAATGAAAGCTTTTCACAGAGTGCGGGATTATTAATTTCCTCTACTTATAGGGGGGGCAGCTTAAGCTAAGAGGAAATAATGGTTGCTTAAGTATACATCAGTTTAAATTATGGATACCACTTAGAGTCAAGTGTCGCGTTTAAAGCTCTTGAAGGTTAAACGCAGTGAAGCTATCAGCTGAGTGCTGACATCAGTGTGAAAAAAAAGCTGTTTACAGATATTATCACTACATTTATCTTCAGTTTCTGTGAAATTTGTCACTTAACGCTGAGCTGTGGTGATAAGGATGAGTCTTGTTGCTGTTTCAGACATTAGATAAGTACATTTTCCTTTCCAACGCTGATGATTAAATCCTGATTTGTTGGCTAACTCTCTTTGTTATTGGTCATTTAACAATTAATATATAGACAAGGGTTGCATATGAGTGACTTAATTTATCAATTTGAAAAACTATCTCAGTATTTTAAATGCACAAAAATGGGAATAATGTTAGCTTGAGTATCTTAAGCTCTTTATTTGTGTTTTTCACATTTGTGTTTTTAGTTTTTGGTAACACTTTACTTGGCACCTATCTCAATAACCCATTGTAAATGTATTTATAATGTGTTATAATCATGTTATAGCACTGTATAACTATAGTTATAAACACTTATAAATGATCATAATGCTTTATAGCAATAATCATAACACATTATAAAGCATTTTATCATGACTTACAAGGTTAGGTGTTATAATGTGTTATACTTATTGTTATAAAGCCTTATGATAATTAATGAGTGTTTGTAATGATAGTTATACAAGTTTATGAGCACATTATAACACATCATCAATATATGAATGATGCATTATGTGGACATTGTCAGTGAGTTGTAAACAGTTAAAACACATAATTTTTTTTTTTTAGTTAGAGGATACTGTCTGAGCATGTAGAGAACAAGATAAGATGGCTTTGTCCACAGGGGGCGCCAAAGTTGACACAAGCAGGAAGCTCCTCACAGGAGCTTTAAGGACCTGAGTCAAAAGTAGAGTTTATTTCTTTAACTTAATTTGGCAGTCTTAATTTCGACAGTCTTATGTAAAATCAGGGGATAAAACTTCAGAGAATATCAATTCCAGCGTTGTGTAAAATCATACATAACCAACAACTGAACTATTGTTTGATCTGTGCGTGTGTCGAGGTATGTATCCTGGTATGCAGCAGGAATGTTAACAGCGAGAGTTTGGAGTGTTTATAGTTGCGTAAAAGGGTGTGACCTCTGTGTAATGCAGATGAATCACTTCTCCTCCCGTTTGACTGACGCTTTTGTGAATCTACAAATCAGCCTCCAGTTTAAGCAGCAAATATGGAGGACAGTGTTTTGGTTAGTTTGTTTGATCAATAACAACCTCCTGATCCATCTCCGCCCTCTAATATCATGATCTCTGCCAGGTTAATAGTGCAGGGTGTACTTGTAGAGGCGTTTGGCTGAACAGACTTGGCGATTATAGATTATGATATTCATTCATTCACTGAATCCTTTGAGTTAAGAGAAAAATAACATTCACACACTTTATAAACTCAAATTTTCTCCACAAACTGAAACTTTTTTATATCATCTAAACAAAGTTAACGCTGAGAGGAGGATTTTTCAGCACTTTTTCCCTCACTTTCTCGTTTTCAGCAGGCGCATCCCTGCAGGCTTTCATGTCTTTACATAACAATCCTCAATGACTGTACGAGTTTTTCAGACAACAGTTTGATGGCTACAGCACACACTCCCAGCAGTATCAAAGGTAGAGACGTTCAGATATAACAAATAGGTGCAGCGCCACAATACGGAGGCTTTAATCCAGATGTGCAGCTGGGCATTAGATGACATCAGTGTGGCTGGAGAGAGAGCTTATCAGAGGATGATTGCGTCATCCCGGAGCCGTGTGATTAATATTAATGAGCTGGGAGAAATCTCTGGAGGAGAGAAACAGGGAGCAGGTGCAGGCCTGAAGTGATGACGAACCTCTGAGCAAGAACATGACTGGAACATTTATATAATATCAGTTTGTGCGTGAGAAAGAAAGAAAGAAAGAGAGTGTGTGAGAGTTCAAACGCGGTTATTACTCCGTGTTGTCCCGTCACACTGAGACACGGGAAGTTTGATTAAAGTTCAGTATTTTTTCCCACCAAAGTTTGTTCCTCACTCTAGTTTTAGATTTACTTTCACTTTCAATCTTTGACAAGGTCTGTTAGGGAAAAATCTCTGTGGTTTCTATTACGTTTGAGGAATCCAGTATTACAGCTACAATCATGCTGGTGGTACGTCACACACAAGAGGATACTTTCTTTTAATATCTATCCATGTAAATATCTGAACAAGTGAGATTTGTGATTTTGAGCCCATGCAGTGATGTCCACTACAGAGTATGTTTTTAATGGAAGACTTTAGCGATCCGGTGTTGTGGGTTTATTTGCCCTCTTGTAAAGAGATTTTTCAAGATTCTTTGACTGAAGGGATATTCCAGCGTATAATTAATTTAGGGTCAAACACACCATAACACAGAGTTGGACACCCCCTCAAGAGCACCACCGCACTATAGCAATACACAGCTGTCTGAGGAACCATAAACAAACCTCAACCAAAACGCCACTCTATGGCCACAAATAATGCTCAGAACAGCACCTAACTTCATCAACAGGACAACAATTTTAGTCAGAGTAACTGTATTTTGAAATATTTTCTCATGCAATCTCTTACAGACTTTTTTGCCCCTTTTGTACCCAGTCATGTGACTATCCTGTCATAAATGAACTCGATTAGTTAGGAGACGTTTCTTTGTGCTCTTTGTTGTTTTGATTATCAGTCACAACTTTTTTAGTCTTTTATTCCTCTTGTCTTTTTTGTCCCTTTTTAAAAAATGTGTTGCAGACACTAAATTAAACCTCAGCACTTGCGTATTTTTATAAAAAATTCACATTATTCACTTTTAGTTTCATGTTTTCTTCAGACTATTTTCAGGTGACAAGAATAGGATTTTTACAGATTTTAAACCTGTTTTCAATCAGTGTTTTAACAGCATCCTGACTTGAACGTGGGCTTATATCATGTATATTCTGATGAAGAGTTTTATTACCAAAAACTGTATTAAAATAACAAATTAAAAGATTGATAAAGTTCATATTTTAGCAGCAGGTTCCAGTGCTTTTCTACCATTTTGTTAACAAAAAAGCTGCAGATCTGTTCCCTTAATTTACTTACCAGTGTCACACATGTTTAAACACCGTCTATTCGTGGCTTTTTTGCAGGAAAAGTATAGAGTTGGTGAGAGCCAATGTTACATAACATCTCTAAATAAAACTGCAATAAAATTCAGCATAATACCACATAAAATGATGCCTTTGTGGCACTAAAATTGATTTGTTTATCAGTCCTCCTCCAGCAGAGCAGCCTTTTATTTCTCCTTCACAGGCCTGGGAAAGGATGTAAGTCCAGTTTTAGGTTTAATTTCTTTTTTTTATTAGATTTTTTCTCCCCTGGGAAAAAAGATTTGAGTCTCATGTATTTTGACTGCGGTCCTCTCCTCTCCTCTCCGTCGTCCAGTGGAGGAGTTGGTTATGTAACGCAGAGAGAGGAGCCGGCGGGGGAGACGGGCTCTGACCTGCAGGTGCAGCCGCAGTGGGAGGACTGCCTGTTTTTGGCTGCTGGACCCTGAATACAAGTTTAGAAACGTACCCAAACAAACATTAAATAATCCATACATCACATGCAGGGACAAGTGAAGAAAACACGGATTTGTGAAAATAACACGTCCCCCAGCACCGCCCATCGCGCAGAGCAGAGAGATTTTGGGACCGTTTGAGGAGATTTCAGCCAAATCCTGCTGGGTGGAGCGACTATTTCTGGCTGCGCAGTGTTGTAAAGACTGATTAGTTTAACAGAAATAACATTTTGGGCTGTCTGAGGATTAACAAAGAACAGGATTAATTTTATTTCACCTTCTTCCATCCTGTCTGTGAGGGCCTCAGCTCTGAAACTCTTTGTCTCTTATTGCTTTGAAATGAAGCAGTGTTCTGAGTCCTCGTCAAAGGTCTTATTGTGGACGGAGCTGTGAACAGTTCACCCAAACAGTGATTATTTCATCAGTCATTGTCATTTGATGGAGTTTTAGAGGCCCAGGAAGGTTAAAGCATTAACAATTTCACAAATTACCCTGAAATATGTGACAAATCTGGCAGATACATATTTTTTTAAACAGCGACATTTCAGTTTTCTAAGAATCCAACGTAAAAGTAATAAACTCCCTCTGATGGTGGCATCGGGACAAACCCTAAGATTGAAAATTACAGCTTAGTCCCTTTAGTTTTCCAATAATACTTCTCTTTTTTCTTTTACCTAAAACTGAAACTTGATGAAAATAAAATTTTTTGAGTTACGTAAGACGAGCGGCGGCTGTTTGTTGTGACTACAGAGGTTTGCTGTCATCGTTTTGGAGACGAGCCAGTCAGCGCTGAGGTCACCGAAAATTTAGGCACAAAGAAAACACAGTCTAACCAAGGACACTGGGTGGATTGAATAACTATTGTTTGTCCACTTTTATGTAATGTCAATTAGAGTCAATCTTAAAGTAATTTGTGAATCGGTCCATCGGGAAAGTCGACTCAAAATCTAATTATTGTAATTATCTCAGTCTAAACGTGTGAAACTGTTGTTCTCAATTAAAAGCTATTTTCGTATGTTCTTTCTGATATGTAACTTATTTTAAAACCACAGCTTCACAGGTGTCCTTACCTTTTGTTTTTTCACAGCTTTGTTAATCACTTGATTCTGATTGGTCATTACATTACATCTAAAGTAACAATGCACATCAAAGGTCTGTTATTTCTCAGTCGAAGACAGTTGCCATGAAGAACAGACCGTTGCCATAGATACGGCTCAAAGCATATGCTCTGTTGGACTTATTTAATCGTTCCCTTCCTTTATTTTGATATTTTGTTAACAGTGGGAGAACCAAGAAAAGGCGAGACGGGATAAAACAACTTTTTGCTACTCCTTACTTTCAACTTGGTCTTTCCTAGTCGACCTCTTACAAACCAAAACAATCAGTAAACGTGTTAGCAAGACGCTTATATGTTGGACGTCAAACAACAACTTTGTCTTTTCCAAGTCTGTTCTTTTTCTGTGACGGTTTGTTGACTCAGGAGTACCCTCCCCAAACCAATCCAAGACTGAACAGACCCCCAAACTTTCAAATCACTCCTAAAAACACACCTTCTTTAATCGGCTTTTAACCTGTGAACTGTTCTTTTATTGTCTTTTCATATTGTGTCTTAACCTTTTAAATTGTTGGTGTTATTTCTCAAAACTTGAGGTATTTTAAATTGTGTTTTTTTTTTCTTTGTAAGGCGTCTTATTAGTGTTACCTGGCTTCCTACAGCACATTCATGCTGTTTAGCTTCCTGGACAAAACTCAGTATTTGAGCTGTTGAACTTGACCAGAACACTGAGGCTAACTTCAGTCCAAAAGAGGCTCATACATAAAAAGAAAGCCACAAAATGTTGATCTATCCGACCATGACAAGTTCAGTTTAGTGTGAATTCAGTGTTCATGTGTTTACATATATTTTAAAGTCCAGTTTACAGTCCTTTTAACCCAATCAGTGAATTTTTGAATGATATGTAAAAGTACAGAATGGTAATGTTACTGCTGATGCAGCTTGAACTGTGAGTGTCTGGATAAGAGACGCTGTTTTCCTGTTGTTTCGCTGTACTAGAGTGAATTTTCATACTTTCCAACAAGCCTTATGTTGTTCCAACTATCGTGCGTGCTGCATTTTGATGCTTTCTCCTATCCAAACCATCAGTCATATTTGCATCTTTCATTATGAAACTGTCCCCACCACTCTCAGTGGCACGGCCTTGTTTGTTTTGCTCTTACATAACCCGGCTTGGGCTGCACCTGTACAGGTAGCTGACAGAAACCAGTATATGAAGCCTAGCCTGGTTTCTGAAAAAGTCCTCATAAACACACTGAATAATTTTACAATGTTCTTTCAGGTTTACTCATAGTTTCTTTCATCTGAATATCTTGAATATATGACTAAGCCATGAGCCTCCTCTCTCACAGTCAGCTCTGATAAAAGCTGCATGAACGGATCAAAGATGTGAGAGCACTTGACATTTTCAAAAGCTTATATAAACAAGCGCACAGCTTTGATGTTCAATAGCAGTAACAGTGAAAAAGTAGGTCTATGAATTAGTCACCTCCGCCCTGTTCTTTCAAAGAGGAGAGTAGAGGAGTGGAGCCTGAGCCTGTTTTATCAAAGATAGATATTTAACCCTTTTATCATGGGATTTTTTACTGTGGTCCTGAGGTTTTTGATCCAATATCAGGGAGGAATTTGGATTTAAGATAATGTCCATAAAGGAAAACAGACAGTACAAACTTTATCAAAATGGTTCAGCCGCCACTTTCACGGTCAAACACTGAGTTAACACACAGGACTACTGCAGCTCACTGATATCCACAGCTCTCTAACCACTAAATCATGCTCTTTCTACCCCAAACTCATTCTTGAGTCCATTTCCTGTGAGAATCAGTCGATCGGGAACAGAAAACACTGACTGTGTTTCCATGAGAACGTCTTACTTTGACAGGATATTGCTCGACTTTAAGTGCTTCAACTGCACAATGTTGTCCCGAGGCAAAAGAAAAGTTTTCTGGTGGATAAAAAAGTCTCCAACTGGTTATACTTTGACATTTCTCTGTAGAACTTTTTACTCTTTTTTTTATCCAAACTTGTAGCTGAGACTGTTTGGCACCTAGCTTTTCATTTCAAACGACTAATCAGCCCAAAGACAAAACAGAGCACCGACTTCACCCTCTTGAGTCAGAGACAAACTCTGAAGGTGTTGTTACTTTAAAAAGAGAGATATTTACTCATTCTTTTAAACATGACTCTTGAACATGACTGTAAAAACAGGTTTTACCATCAAATGAGTAAGCTCTAAGTGTGCTAGCGTCCCAGAAAGCAGTGAAATGTAAACATGACAACCAAAACAGTATTTTACCGTCAAATTAGTTAACTCTTAGTGTGCTAGCATCAAAGACAGCAGTGAAATGTTAATATTTCTATCAAAAACAGCATTTTACTGTTAAATTAGTAAGCTCTAATCATGCTAGCATCCCAGAAAGCAGTGAAATATAGACATGACTATCAAAAACAGTACTTTACCATTAAATTATTAAGCTCTAAGTGTGCTAGCATACCAGAAAGCAGTCAAATGTAAACATGACGATCAAAAACAGTATTTAACCACCAAATCAGTAAGCTCTTAGTGTGCTAGCATACCAGAAAGCAGTAAAATGTTAACATGAGCATCAAAACAGTATTTTACCGTCAAATTAGTTAACTCTAAGTGTGGTAGCATTATAGACAGCAGTGAAATGTTAATATTTCTATCAAAAACAGCATTTTACTGTCAAATTAGAAAGCTCTAAGTGTGCTAGCATCCAAGAAAGCAGTGAAATGTAAACTTGACCATCCATCAAAAACAGTAATTTTACCATCAAATTAGAAAGCTCTTAGTGTGCTAGCGTCCCAGAAAGCATTGAAATGTAAACTTGACCATCTATCAAAAACAGTATTTTACCATCAAATTAGTAAGTTTCAGATTTCATACTTTCACACCTTGTTTTCCTTTCATAGTTCTATTTTGGGGTTTTTACGCCTTTATCCAAACTGAAGGCTTTATCCTCTGTAAGTGGACTTGGACCCAACCATTAGGCCTACCTAATGCCCCTTTCTGACCTTGTTGATGTGGAGCCTGTATGGTTGTACATGTGAGTACAGACCCCACTGTTTGCACTCATGCACTCAAACAGCAAAAACACAGATGAAGCTCTCTTTCATAATTCACGAGTGGAAAAAACTGGTCAGCAGACCGGATCTGACACTAAACTCATCAGCGTCTCTGACCTCTTTGCTTCTTCCTAACGCTCTCGGTTTGTCTCCAGGGCGCACGTGAAACCTCACGGCTCGATCTAAGAAAGCATGTGCGCTCATATTCCCAATCAGAGTCTCACATTCCTGCTGCAGAATAAGCCTTTTGTTTCCCAGTTATCATTATTGAAATCCCATGACAGGATGTAAAGGCGTCCCATTAAAGTGCTCATCACAGGTCACAGAGATGCTCGCAGGAAACCTTTGGCCTTATTGGACGTATTCAAAGATTTCCAAACCTCAAGGTTTTAGGAAAATGAGTTTTAAAAAGTTCGGCTGTGATGTAATCGTTAAAAAAACTCCAGCCGTTCTTGTTCGATGTAGTATCAACAAAAAGAACCAGGTTAACCAGCCGCAGTATTCAAATCACTAACCCAGAAAGAGCTGGAGCGTGACTCAGTCTGGACCCTCAGCAGCACAAAGTGGTTCATTTGAATACATACGATCTGGAGAGGCTGTTTGAGGTCTTTCTGTTTCCTGCTTGTTGAACTGAGAGAATAATGGATGTAGCTGCCTGCTCCTCGGTCTTAATATCTCAAACAATCATTCGACTTCATCTTTTTTAGCCCCTAAAGGGAAATTTGCCTCACAGCAGCACAAACAAAACAAACATGACCGCATGAATCTGATCATAACAGATCACATAAATCAAAAAATACTCTTTATTTTTGCTAAATCAGATACACGTCAAACCAAAGATCACTAAACTACTACTCTAGATAAGGAGCAGTGATGCTTTTTGGTGCCTCTATGTCTGAGTTTTATGAAATGTCAGTGCATAATTTGCATAATTGGGCCGATTCATTTGAATGGAAAACTATCACTGGTCGGCCAAAACTCTTACATAACCGCCTGGAAATACTCAAACACAAACTGGGCCGCATCAGTAGTGTTGAGGTCAAAATTTTAGACGGTTGGAGTTAAAAACTGAGATTTCAGGGGCTATCAAATGTTAAAGTCAGGAAACAAAAATGTACTTTAATCAAAATTAGAAAGAAATCAAATTAAAGTCACTTTTCAAGCACTTAAAGCTCCTGTAAGGAACTTTAATTT